GTTCCCGGTAGTATTGGCCGTCTCACCTCGTCGCAATAGACCCGCCCACTGTGCTGCTGATGTGGTAAAGGGGCGTCCGCATTAAAAAACAAAAGGGAGTAATTGAGCTAGCGCCCCACCTTCTTGTTTCACCGGCTGCCAAGTGCCGCTGTCACTTATATAATAGTTTCGCTATTCACGATTGTCTCGTTCCTCGATTAATTATTCTTTGTTGCTGTCGCGAGAGCATGCTCACTATTGTGGTTGCTTTCGCAGTGAGCCTGCTTTCCCGTTTTTGGCAATTTACCGCCCACTGACTTGCTGACGCATAGAGGGGTTCGCTACCAAAAAAGAAGAGAGCGTGTTCGCGGGGTGTCGTGGTCGCCAACCCTCTGCGCGCTTTTCGTTGTGGCCTGTGGGAATAGGCGGGGCTGGGAGAATTGGGTGAAGGGCAGACTCATCCCTGTAAACCCTAAACCCTAGCCACCCCTGAACCCTCAACCGTCAGTCCCTAACCCCAAACCCCCTCGGACTGTTTTTATTATTATATTTTTTTGTGGGGGGGGCGGGGGGTTCAGTTTGATTTGGTGGCGGAGTGTTCACGGTTGAGAGTTCGGGTTTGGGATGCTTCTAGGGTTCAGCTTTGGAAGGTTTGGCGGCTTTGAGGACTTGTGGTTTTATCGGGTTTGCAGGGTCTTACAGAACGGCAACAGTTATCTCTGCAAAAGGGCAACTGTTCAAGCTTACTTACAAATGGTGGCGTGCAGTTCGGGCGGGCCCAAGCCTAAACCCCCAGCGGAGGCTTTGACCTATGCTTGAAGGGCTGACTGTATTCATGCCAACACCATATCTGCTCAAGGCGACTTCCAACCCTAAACCCTAAATCCCTAAAGTGCTGCAAGAAGTGGCTTCAGGTGGTCCGTGGCCCCTTCAGCTCGACTCGTTTGGGCTTGGTTTAGGGTTTATGGCTTAGGGCTCTGAAGCCCCCCAGCACCTACATGCTATACCCCTGCCTCCCCCCAAACATGCCAGGGGCACCTCAGTATTTATGCACAGTAAGCAACATATTCTATAGCAAAGACGAAATATTCCAAGCGGGGGGGGGGGGTTCTACGACGCTAGCTAAACCCCACGCCCTAAGAAACGCCTTAGGTCGAAGAACCTTCGAGAACGTGCAGACGATGAAGCATCAACGCGAGGAGACTTTTTTCCCGAACGCGCTTCAGGATGAATGCGGTGTGGCAAAGTGGGGGTTTAGGGATAAGTTTAAGGGTGTACAGACTAGGTAGAGGGCTGCAGGTCCGAAACGCTCAACATCCGGAACTGGACCGCAGAATGAGGTTTTCCCAGGAATCGATCCCTTCTTTGGGTACCTCTTCCTTGATGAAGTTCTCCATCCTAACGCTACAGGAAGGGATACCCCACCCAGTGGGTAGTCTACAAGGGGCCAGACACCCACAGTCTCGCTTTCTGTTAGTCGTTGTTCTTCGGCTTCAAATTCGCGGTGCCCGTTCGTCTGCTCGTCTGGCAGCCGGCTGTCCGGCAGTCCCAGAGCGGGAACAGTTCCATGGCCGTCTTTCGGCACAAGTTGGCCACTGGCAAGGCCGAGTTCGGTACCCACCATAAGCGGCACTCTTAGGTATAGGGTTGTAGGCTCTTAAGCCCTGAAACTTCCCGAAAGAAAACCTGAGCCCCTGGGACACAAACTAGGGCTGTGATCTGGGTCTGCTGTCATCGCAAAGAGCCGAAGCCCCAAGCCCCAAACCCAAGTCTCTGTTTAGTTGCGGGTACTGAAAAGGGCAACCTTGTTTATAGGCCTAAACCCTCAGTCTGTTTAGTTTAGGATGCCTGAACAGGGGACCTAAACCCTAAACCCTAAACCTTAAACCCTAAACCCTTCTTGAGGGTACCGAAAAAAGCGGAAGCCGAACTCCGTGGGTGCCCGTCTACGCATCACGGAAGTTCTGCTCCCAGTCCACAGCCTCAGCGCGGCGTGGTTTAGGGTTTAGAGTTTAGGGCTTAGGGTTTAGGGTTTGGGGTTCGGGGTCCGGGGTTTGGGGCTTGGGTCTTGGGGTTTGGGGTTATCCCCCCCCCGCCCCCCAAATAGTGAATTTTGGCTTCAGGGATCCCCAGCTACCTACACCTTTTTTGTGTGTGGGTTTAGGGCTCAGGACCTTTGTCTACGGCAATGTGTGTGTGTATATATATGTGTATATATACTATCCTGGGGGGTAGGGTTCAGTGTTTACAGTGAGGGGCCCCCATCATGTGTACTAACTAGACCTCCTGGACTTCTGACCCAAGTCATAGGCCCCCGGGCTTCCCAGCAGGAAAGGATTTACGGTCAAGGGTTGGGGGTGTGAGTTGGGATGTTCCCCCTTGTACGATAACAGTCGGATTATCATAGGGGGTATTATAGTCCCTATTAAGGACTCTTGGTATAAGGGGGAACATCCCAAGGTGTGAGGTGCAAGTTGGATTATGGTGTCTGACCAGCCCGCGATAATAGGGGGACTCGTGATTGGAGTTTGGGGATGTTGCCCCTTCTAACAGTCCTTAGGCGGGATTATCGTACCCCCTGAAGAATTCCCTATTCAGGACTGTTAGTATAGGGCGGAGCATCCCAAACATGAGAGAAGGGTTGAGGTTGCCTTTGGGTTTATATAGGGCATTCGGTATAAGAGCCTCAGTGTATCCTCTGCTGGCTGGAGGAATATCAATTTTGCATTGGCTTAAACATTGACCTACGGGATATCAAGGATGGCTTACGGCTTAGGGTTTAGTGTTTAGGGTTTAGTGTTTAGGGTTTAGGATTAGGGTTTAGGGTTTAGGGTTTAAGGTTCAGGGTTTAGGGTTAGGGTTTCCGCCTTCAAAACTTCAAGCCTAAAAATGCAAACCTGCAGTCTTCAAGGCCCTCAGGGTCTATGTACCTATATAGTATACAGTATATACTTAGGGTTTAGAGGGTCTAGGGGTTTAGGGGTTCGGGTTTAGGGTTTGGGGTTTAGGATTTAGAGCAGCTTCCCTGTGGGAGCTTAAGGGCCCAAGTATATACTACGTAGGTGCCCGGACCCTTACCCTTAGGCTCAAAATACTCCCAGTACCTTATGTAACTTGTGTAATAAGGCCTTTGGACCCCAAAACATTAAAATAAGAGTCCTTGGAGCCTTAAGTAGTAAGGCCTTTGGGCCCAACAATTCTTAAAATGAGCGTCCTTAGAGCTTTAAGTAGTAAGGCCTTTGGAACCAAAAACAGTAAAATAAGAGTCCTTAGAGCCTCTAGGTTGCCCAGTAACCTAGGGGTAAAAAGAGTGCCCTTTTTTACCTTAAGGGGTTTACAAGGGAGCCCGAAGGCCCCAAAAAGGGATAAGGGTACTACTGGGCACCCTTGGCCTTAAGCTTGAGGAAATTACTGGCCCTCAACGCCAGGAGAGTTGAACCCGAACACTCCGAAACCAGGGCCCCCGTGCGAAGTAGCCACCTTCCGGCCGCCTTCCACGTGGCAGGGTTTAGGGTTTAGGGTTCAGGGTTCAGGGTTTAGGGTTTGGGATTAGGGCTTACGGCTTAGGGAGTAGGGTTTAGGGTTCGGCAATTGCAGGCTTCAGGGGTTTCGGATCGTTGGATTGTTGTTCCTCCTTCATTGTTTTGGGGGCGGAGCACCTGATACATCTAAGCCCTCATCCCAAAAATATCTGCCATCCGTCTTCGTCCCGCATACTTTCAGCCCAAGCCCCGAAGCCCAAAAAGTCGCATGTGGGGGCCTTTATGGGGGTTCCGAAAAGAAAAATTATAGTAGTTTGGGGCATATTAGGGCTACCCCTATTTTGGCAAACCCCCCATATAGACCCCCAAAATAAGGACCCCCAAAAAGGTACCCCGAACATCGTCAACCCCCCCACCCTTCTTATTCCTAGCCCTAAACCCTAACCCTAAACCCTAAACCCTAAACCGTAAACCCTAAACCCTCGGCCCCTTACAATATAAAGACCCCAGGAAGGTACCTCTAACATCGTAAACCCCCGAGTGCCTCATGTCCAACAGCTGCACCTCAGTCACCGCGTGCCTGCCATGATACGTACGTGGAGATAGTTCGGTTGAAAACTTAAGGGCCCTGGCCCTAAACCCTAAACCCTAAACCCTAAACCCTAAACCCTAAACCGAAACCCTAAACCCTAAACCCTAAACCTTAAACCCTGAGCCCCATAGCCTTTAAACCCAAGCCCCCTCAACCCTAGCCTTTAAACCTGATAACCTCCAATCCTGAGAACCTTATCATCATGTAACCCCCCCCCTCCCCCCTCCCAGAAAAACAGGTTTGGGGTTCTGGTCATATCTAGTCGAGGTTTTGTAGGGCATGACGATGATGCTCACGGCTTCGAGGAAGCTCGTGCAAGCAGAGCCACATGTCAATCATTTAGGTTCATCCTTCCAGCAAACTTGGAAGACATGCAGCTAGCGTGCATTGACTAAAACGGGTACCACCGGGCTACCAAGAACCCAAAACCCTAAACCCGAAACCCTAAACCCCCCAAAAGGGAATAAGGGCTACCAAGCACAGCACACATACCCTAAACCCTAAACCCTATACCCGGTCTCAAGCACACATAGTACTCATGCAGTTATTGCCGAAGTTGGGTCGGCGCTCATTTTTGGCTCCCGGAGTTCACCGCAGCGGCCGCTAACTGAAGGGACTCGATGAACCCCCGACAGGGTTTAGGGTTTAGGGTTTAGGGCTTTTAGGGTTTAGGGTTTAGGGCTTAGGGTTTACTGTTTGAGCTTGATCCCTCCTCCAAAATCAGAGAAAGCCCAAGCAGGTTAGAGTTCAAATGTTGCCTGAGTAGGATAACCCCTAGACGCGCAACGTGACTATCCGTCTAACTGCCTTTAACTAACATAAACTTTCGGGAGTGTGGACCACGAACCCTTTCAGAGTTCATCCAGCTGTTGAAGGTTCATCTAGTCCCAGGCCCGCAGTTGCAGTTGCGCGAGTCGATCTTCGCTGCACGCAGACCAACTTGTGAGTCATCGGCCGCGCACCTTGTTCATTGTTGGGATCATATTAAACATGTATTTGTTTATTCCTTATTGGGTTTAAGTACCCTTAAATATGTAAAATGTTACCCAACTATGTATGACAAAGGCTCAAGTTGCAGTAGGAGGCCTTTGTGATCCGATAGAGGAGCTCCATCCTCAGTGCACCACGACAAGACGGTTGCCTGCCGTGTGGCCAGTTCGACGCCGGATCCCAGCTTCAGAAACAGGTGATCCTCGGTGGCCCCCTAGGACACAAAAATGCTGAAGGTACCCCCTTTTGGGGTTGGTTGCTTTATCAAGGTTTAGGGCTTAGAGTTTAGGGTTTAGGGTTATTCATGAACCTACAGAAAGAAAACAAAAAAAGAGCACCACTGGGAATACCAAGGATCATAGTGGGTTACTTTATCAAGAGACCTATAGAACCCTAAAAGGGGGCACGATGATCCTTGGTATTCCCAGTGGCACTCTTGATATGGTGTTTTTTTCTATAGGTCTCTTGATAAAGTAACCAACCCTAAAAGGGGGTGGTGGGCACTATGCTCCTTGGTATTGCCAGTGGTGCTCTTTGTTTTTGTATCTTTTCCATAGGTTTCTTAATAAAAAAACCTAAAAGGGGGTACCTTAATAAAGATGGTGGGCACTATGATCCTTGGTGCTTCCAGTGGTACTTACTTTTTTTGTATTTTCTATAGGTCTCTTCATAAAGTAACCCACTATGCTCCTTGGCATCCCCAGTGGTACTCTTTTTCTTTATTAAGAAAATACGCAAATAAAGAGTACCACTGGGAATACCAAGGATCATAGTGCCCACCATCGTCATGAGTCGCCACGTTGAGGTCCAGGAGCGACTCGAATCCTGGGCACCGCAGGGACTGCCGAGGATGGTTGAAGTCGCCTGTGACCATTACCTTGCATTAGGGTTTAGGGTTTAGGGTTTAGGGTTTAGGGTTTAGGGTTTAGGGTTTAGGGTTTAGGGTTCAGGGTTTAGGGTTTAGGGATAGCCCAATCCTGGGATCATGTGCGCTTTGCGACTCTAACACGCGCTGACGTACATGGACCACGAACGCTTTTAGGGCTCGTCTAGCGAAGCAAGGTACCGTGGCACCCGGGTACTTCTCCACTAACTCCGTCGCCGCGGCTTCCACCTCGCGGACTTGTTCCTCAGTCTGGGCGTAGTCACCCCAATTCAAATGGGCATTCACAAAAGCCATCGTGTGCCCGCTCCAATCCAGCAGACCCACGCTGTATCCTTTGTAAGGCGCCACGGGCTTGGGTGATGCTGAAGAAAATGGCTTTGAAGAACAGTGCAAGAGGGGCCATCGGGAAAAACACCGTAGCCCACCGTCCATTCCAAACCAGCGTCTCGTCAGGTCCTGCTCGGGTGAGGGACCAGTGTGCACGATCCCATGCATGGCGAGTCCCTTCGTGAGCGTCCGAAGCTCCCCTTCATAACCTGAGCATGAAGGGATATGCCAAACGGTGGTCTCTTTCTACCCATATTCTACCCGTATGGTTGTCCCCACGAGAATAGGCCTCCGATTTAGGTCGAACAAAGCTAGCCTTCTTCCTGTTGGTAAGTGTTTATCAAAAGAACCCACATCCTTGGGACCAAATGAATCTAAAACTGCGATCACATGCCCTAAGCCTAGGCCCTATAAACCCTAACCCCCTACACTACTATAACGCTCAGTAAGGTACCTATAAGCCATGATGGCTCATCTTCCCAAAGAAATAGAAATCGGTAAACAGGGTACCACTGAGCATCCCAGCAGCGGGGGAGTAGAGGTCCAGGGGCGAAAGTGTAGACCTTAGGGTTTAGGGTTTAGGGTTTAGGGTTTAGGGTTTAGGGTTTAGGGTTAAACACCAAAAACAAACCCTTTTTTGCGGGCTTGATTGCCTAAGGTCCTACAAAGAAAGCTTAGAGAAACATCCGACAACACAAACCAAAAAGCGTAGGTTTGGGTCTCTGAGTAGGGAATGAGGTACCCCATATAGCCCCGGAAGGGGCATGTATATGTATATCTATACATAAACATGCCCTAAACCCTAAGCCCTAAACCCTTTGAACCCTAAACCCTAAAGGGACATATAGTGCCTCATCCCTATCTTGGAGGTTCATGGATGTGTACTTATACTCCCCCATTGTACTCTGCTTAAAACCTACTTAGGGCATTTAGGGGGCTTGAAAGTACAGTTTATCACTGGGGCTCTAAACCCTAAACCCTCAACCCTAACCCTAAATCCAAAACCCTAAACCCAACCCTAAACCCTAAACCCTAAACCCTAAACCTATGGGGTTATGAGTACCCTCAACCTCCAGGTAGGTCTTGAGGCACTTCTTGGAGAATTGCGACGTCGACGCCGGCATCTCCCGCAAGCTGGGCGGCTCGATGCACTCTGCTGACACCTTTTGTAATAGCTGATCTGAGAACCCCCTACGGGTTTAGGGTTTAGGGTTTTGGGTTTAGGGTTTAGGGCTATTGATCAATAGAGCTGCCAAGAAAGTAGGAAACAATGTCCAAGAACGCTCTAGACACCATGAGGAGGGTCGTTCGGAGAGAACCAATGGCACGCCAGGTTGTAGTCCAGGACGCGAAGCGAACTTTGATCCGGCTTGGGGTACGAAGCCATCGCCAGCTTGAGTCGTCCATGTAAAGCCCCAAGGATCGCACCTTAACCAAAGTAACCTATACAACCCCATAGAAGGGAAGCATATCCTTTAGGGGTGGGAGAACCGACTGTTGAACACGCACAGAGGCTTGCTACCCTAAACCCTAAACCCTAAACCCTAAACCCTAAACCCTAAACCCAAAGCCCTAAGCCCTAAGCCCTAAGCCCTAAGCCCACTGGTCCATCGAGTCTAGAAAGTCAAGCCATAAGCTGCCAACCGCTTTTCTGCATGAGATCCTTGGGAGCCTCTTGTCTGAGCCCCCTGAAACCCAAAGCCGAAAATCCTAAACCCTAAACCCTACACCCTACACCCTAAACCCTCTAAACCCTAAACCCTGAACCCCAAGGCCTAAACCGCAAACCCCGCGCCCAGCCCTTTCCGAGCGCTTCGGACGACCTGAAGAACCTAAAGCCCTTCATGCAAGAATCTTAAAAATAGCTTAGGGCAGGTTCTTCCTTCGTAACGATACAGTTTATCGTATATCCCCTTCACGCAGTCATTCTTTCAATCACAACAAGGGTCCACCAATTCAATACAGAAGTCATTCTTCAGTCATTAACAAATGTCCCTGGATCATACGGATTATACGCAGGACATAGGAATATCATGTGAGTCTTTCCCAAGGTAAGGGTGCCCCGAACATACCCCAAAGCAATTAGGATCCTTATCATAGGACCCCCCCACCCCCACCCCCCGCTCACTCCCCCTCACGGCACCCCTATTTTCAGAATTGGGGTCACCCCAATAGAGTATAATCCTAATCAGAGGAACACCCCAAAAAAGTACCCCTATTTTCAGAGGAAAAAACTAAACCCTAAACACTAAACCCTCAACCCCCATATGCCTTAATCAAGGAGCGTCGGGCCCTCTCGCTAGTGACCTAAATCCCCTAAACCCTGCAAAACCCTAAACCCTAAAACGCCGGCCTGCCAAAGTGGGCGTCGGCTTTTGCGCTCCAGGCCTGCACCCAGAGACACCCTATCAAAGGCTGCGGGGTCAGGGTTTAGGGTTTAGGGTTCAGGATGTAGGGTTGAGGGGTAGGATTTATGGTAGGGGTAGGATTTATGGTTCAAGGTCTAGGGCTTAGGAACTAGGACTACATTTCAAACAGCCATATCTACATTCTGTTCCATTGTGGGGTTCCCATCTTCTAGTAAGGGACCCCAAATACAGGATACGATCCCTAGTCCTGGGCTTCCGGGAATCAACGCCCCCGCAGCCTAAAAATGGGGTTTCGAGTTTGGTACTATGACTTCATGAGGCTAAGCCCTGCACCCTAAGGGTTGCCCCAGAGGCTCCCCCGACTCCCCCTGCCTCCCCAACTACCCTTAGCGTGCCATACATGAAGTAGGGTTTATATTGCTTGTAACCCCAAAAGGACACCCAGTATATACACCTACCAATATTAAAAAAAGTAACATTATATGCGATCACCAATAACAGTCATAGAAACCCTATTTCAAATGAGGAGAAGCGAGGTACACCTTTCGACGAAGTTGTCTTGGCCCCAGAGTTCTGTACTCAATGCCACAGGGGGAAAGCAGCAGTTCTTCCAAAGTTGCTGCGCAACGCCAAGACCTGCACTACTTTGAGGTTCATGGTACTTCTTAACCAATTAGAACTGTACTTACGACCCACGTGTTAGCCCCTTAAGTGCCCTAAAATGATTATAAGTACAGTCTTAAGTAGAGTTAAAATTGATGAATAAGTACCATGAACCTCCAAGCAAATAAGGAAATCTCGCTCCGTCATCCCGCCTGCTGCGGGATTTTCAGCAGCTTCCTTCGTCGGCAGCAGAGGGAAGCCCTAAACTCTAAGCCCCATACACCACGCAGCTGAGCCCTAAAACCTAGAAGGGAATTCCTACACGTATCAAGACCGCAATGATGAGCCTTATCCGCATAGAAAGGCTGTGGCCATATCCTGACACTCATTCACTTGAGCTGATACAGCGAGGACCTAACCCAAGATATACTGGACCCGAGAGGAACCTAGGAACAAACAGGATGCCCATTTAGGTTGAAAAGAGTGTTTGCAAGGCTAACCCTAACGAAGGGAAAACGCGCCTACTCTGGGTGCTCACATAGCTGTAGAACTTCTGTCCCAACTTAGGACACTGACCGCTCTACATATCTGTAGGGGGGGGGGGTGGCCTTCACTGCACTTTATAGGGCTTGGTGTTCAGAGGCTCGCTGTTTAGGGCTTAGGGTGTACAGTGTAGGGCTAGGGCTTAATGTCGTATCCTGATGAGTCTGGACCCCTCCAATAATGAAAAGTTTTCCAAAAAATTGTTCAGGAGACAAAAACTCGATTGCCCCACCACAATAAAGTCAAGTTTTCGCATGGGTTTCGGAAGAGAGAAAAAAGAGAACAAGATGATGAAAGAAAAGAGCTCTTACCTTTAGCTTTAATTACTGAGCTTACCTTAGCTTTCCTGAGCTTTCCTGAGCTTACCTGAGCTGAGCTCATCTGAGCTTACCTGAGCTTAATTACCTAAGAGGAGAGGGAGAGGAAGAGGAGAGGGAAGAGGAGCGAAGAGGAAATGAAGAGGAGCCGGTGGGGGGGGCCCGGGGGGGCCGAAAATTAGTTTGGGGGGGTCCCTTTTTTTTGGTGACACTATTGCGGGGGTGGATTTAGTTTGGGGGGGGGGGGCCCCCCCCCCACACTAATTAGGATACCACATTAGTGTTTAGGGTTTAGGCTGTAGGGTTTAGGGTTTAGGGTTTCGGACTCGAGCATGGGAGACAAGCTGGGGCAAGGACCGGTACCACGCTTTGCCTCGGGCAACGAGTGGGTCATAGAAAGCCTACTTAGGGTCTAGGGTTTAGGGTTTAGGGTTTAGGGTTTAGGGCTTAGAGTTTAGAGTTTACATCCGACAAACCCCATAATCCCTCCTACATAAACCCTACAAACCCCTGTCTCACGTTCCGACCCGGAAAAAAGCATCTCCCGTGTCAGGGCTCTCTACAGAGTTCTAGGGATTCAGGCGTCAAAAAGCTCCGGGTTTAGGGTTCAGGAGTTTACGAGAGGGTTTGGGGCCGGTTTACGGGAGGGTTTAGGAGATTTGGACTCGATGTTCTTGGGCTGTCTTTTTGTTGGTGCTACTCTTTTGGCTTAGGCTTCGGGAGCCATTTTTTGTGGCTTGCTTTCTGGAGGGTTTGCGAATGTGCGATGGTCCTGGGCAGTTCTAGTGGCCACAAGAGAACGGCTCTTGACAGTTGGGCTTTGGTTAGGGTTTAGGGTTTAGGGTTTAGGGTTTAGGGTTTAGGGTTTAGGGTTTAGGGATTAGGGTTTAGGGTGTTTCTAAACCTCGACACCAAACACCCGCCGCCCTAACATCCCACCTAGACTCGAACGGCGCCTGCATGCCCTTTTTCGTGTTGGGTAGTCTTGTCTGGGTACGCCGAGGGCACAGGCAATTGCTAAAACTCGCCCTGCAGCCATGAGGCTTGATGCCTAAAGCGGATCTGAACCCTAAACCCTAAACTACCATTTGCTTAAGAACCCAGAAAACATAAAAGCTAACAATCCCTATATTACCCTCGTAAGGAAGAGTTTTTGCAACTGTGTTTTGTTGGTTTTTGTTGGGGGGGGGGGGGGGGGGGGTGGGGGGGGGGGGGGGGGGGGGGGGGGGGTATGCAAATAGTGGTAAACCCCAAATCCCATCGGCCCTACGTCCAACAAGCCTGAAACCCTAAACCCTAAACCCTTAAACCCTAAACCCTAAACCGCGATGACGCA